CAATAATTTCTCGGAATTCAACATATAATTTTTTCGTTTGACCGCATAAAGCAAGTTCCGAACTGCTAAGAAATTGTGCATGCCCTCAGTTAGAGATTGTATGCTCCACATGTATTATACAATATCTTCTCGTTATGGTGATGTAAAATGTAGTGTTTTCAAAGCAATTATGCACTTCGGTATGATCAGAAATCGAAATATTTTTTGGCAGCAAATCGTTCCAAAGTTATGGCTATGTTATAATTGAGGTGTTTTTCCAATGGTCTATATATAGCCGAGCAATTCGATGAGGGCTTCTCAATGAATTTGACCTATTAGGTTGATCACCGAATGCTTAACAAAAAGGCAGTGCCGAATGCAGGCAGTAGGCAGTACCGTCTTCAAGCGAACCATACACTCAGATTTGAGCTACAACTACTGAACTTCCTTGATACTCGAGAATGTGCTTGGTAGGTGCAAGCAAAATTTGTGTGTTCCAATAGCGGATATCTTGGTAGGATGATTCTAATGGTTTCTTCGATAGCGTTTCCGTGATTATTGTCGTCGATTCTAAGAAGATACTTTGAACACCTAATCTAATTTGCTTTCGAGAATCTCATTAATGTGATCTAACAAAACGTTTATCGCTTGGAAAAGTTCTCACAAGTAGAGTTTTAGTCCAATTTCTGTGATTTGTTTATGTCTTCTGTTGGTACTGATAGGATCAGAATGCGCAGATGAATGCAAAACAAAAGAGCATTTTCGAAAATTTTCGATGATCCATCTATCTATCTGTTTATCCATCTATTAATTGTTGTGGGTATTTGATGTTGGTGTTTGTCTCTATTTTGCTTGGATGTTACGCACTCTATCCTGCTTCAGAGGGGTAGAGAAGTTTGGGAATACACAGAAATAAGTGAGAGAAATTCTTAAAGAATTATTTGCAAATGGAAACATTCGGTTATGTTGATCAATTTTTTTAAATCGAATTTTCTTGTTGATGATAATAATAATGGATAGTATATGATTTAACATGGATGATATGATAACGATAGCAATGAAAAGTATTTCAAAAAAGTGCCATCGACATTCCATGATCAGTACACAAAATTGTTTCAAATTGTTGTGATTTGATGTGATTTAATTTCGTAACCATCAAAAAGAATGTTAAACATCCAACCAACTAATCAAAGCATTATTCATTGGTTCAAAGCAAACACATAAAATCCGTATCATATCGAATTTAAATTTTATGACATTACATTGCCGTTTTAGTGATGTAGTGCCATTTGAATCACTTTTGTGATTTACAAACATTATTGCTTACTACTTTGTCCATCTTTCCATACGTTTTTCGTTGCTCATGCGTGATGAAAACGAGGAGAAAGTTATGATTTTCCGAACAAAAAACGATTATGCGTAGAGAGACGAGATTATCGAGTGATTTTCACAAACGTCTTTTAGTGATCTTTTTGTTGCACACTTTTGGCAAACTGTTCTATTCTGTTCCATTCCGTCCTTCAGTTGTTCTCTTCCGTTCTGTTCTTCGCGCCCTTTTTTCTGGAATTGTTCTATTCTAATCCTTAGAATAGAGCAGAACATCACTAGTCTGCAGTCCGACTGCAGTAGAAACATCATTAGTCTTTACCATCTTAATTTTTCACACGTCACACCGTCATGCATCCTGGCAGGTTCATTTTTTTAAGCAGAGCTACATTTTCATATTTCGATGTACATATTTCAAATGGTGGATGGTGTACGTGCTCAATTCAATAACATCTACCATGTGATAAGCAAAAATATCACGACTATTTCATAGATAATAACGTTTGAACTATCAAATTTACAAAGATTACAATTGATCTAAAAACTAAAGATACATTTTATATTTCCTTCGCATTATTCATTCATTCTTAATTTTCATTTATCCACTTGCACCAGTCTGCTTAACGATCGACTTACATATGTGCTATGGCGTTTTTTGATTGACTTAAAGGAAACGCCAATGTTTTGTTTCCTTTCATTGTTTTCGAATTGTTCTTTCATATTCAACTGATTGAGTGAATAATTCGGAGCAAGAATCATCCATCTATCCGTTGATCATGTTTTGTCACGGATGAATGTATAAAAAATCAGTGAAATCAGTGTTCCATTTATAACTTTTACCGCTCATCGTCCATTCATTTCACTTCCGAACACCCATAGAAGACTGTAAGGTTGACATTTCCATTATCTTCTGACCTTTAAATTATGCTCCTGCTCAAATGCCTGACAGCATACTACAGATTTCTCATTATCATCGTCATAAACATCATGATAATATTAATATATAATCATGTCATCTTCATTCTAGTATATAAAATATTTTTTAAGTTTTTTCTACAGATGATGAAAACGATTTGAAATAATGAAGCAAGCAATTTATCAAGATGTACCAAAGCAAATTCTGTACTATTACAACAAATCAATCCGTATCATTTTCTTCTCGATTCATTCCATTTTTTGCTCTATCATTCGACTTCTCAAAACTAGGTTGACGAACTGTACTGATGAGGAACGCAATCAAAACAACCAGTTATAATCATTATCTTGTAATAATCGCAACCGTCACAATAGGTCGCATACGCTCACTGGTTGCCTCTTAGAGATTGAGTAGTTGATTGGATTGAATTCGAGGCAAGCAGGAAGGAAGAAGGGAAGCGCCCACCTCCTTTCATTTCGTTGGTAGATGAACAATTGACGGGTGGGAGAGTGGATGGATGAATGAATTTACGAATGGGTGGTACATTTGTGGATGTTGTTTGTCGTCGCAATCATCGTCATGCTGCACTACGGATATGGCAATGAGTTATTCTTCATTCAAGCACCTCTGGACGAGCGATCGCTAAATTGACCGACGGGTGGATGAGTGAGTGGCTCAAATCTGCAAACCTCGTCGTCATCATTCATAGATGAACACAACAATTGAAGAATGTGTTTATTAAATGCTGTTTGATTATCTGACTTTATACGAATGCATTTCTGTTAATTCCAATTCACCTTATCTTCTTCGCTCACATATTCATCTGCACAGGCATACTTAATCTTACAACCAGCAGCACCACTAATCCGACATACACTTATGATCGACCGATCAGGCAGTCGTCTACCAGTCTGTATGTTTGTCTATTTCAATCGAATGAGCACTTGAATTGTTGAAATGAACGACAATAATAGCATCATTTTTCATAACCACAGAACGACCGTTTTTTGTTCTGGATTTGTTGATTTCGAAACATTCTTCTCTTCTTTATGTGCTCCTTCTATCCAAAGTACATCCATAATTCATCCATCTTTATCCGAACCGAACTACCTGATTCAGTTGAGTTGAGTAATTAATATTAGCACAGGCATGGCCTGAATCTACGATATATAGTTGTGCATTTCTGCCTTATAGTATCGCATTGTTATTGTCAATCTACTTACTACGACCGTTTGAAGAAGCAACAGAACAGAGCAGTATATTACTGGATGAAAAATTGTCATTGTTAATGTTAATGTTATCGCGTGAAAAGTAGTAGCAAACAGTAATCACAGTTTCATTACAAATAATTCATTCGTCGTTCATTATTATAAGACTCGCGGAAAAGTGTGAATAGCTGGATAATTCGAATTGATTTAAGTTTAGACTTTTGCCTAGCTTCAGAGCAGTATCCAGACTTGTCCGTAGTCTCAAGTTAACACTTATGCTCAATCTACGTATCAGTCTCTATCTCATTCATTTTCATGACAGTTTCCCACATCCTCTGAGCTGATTAATCGTATCCGTATCGCGTTCAATTGAATAATCGAACTCTTTTCGTTTGATTATTCTTCGACAAATCAGTGTTTTTCTTTGAGATATTGATAAGCAGTAAAGAGAAACTGCGTAAGGTTGACAGGAAGTGTTTCCTTGTAGTTGAGAGAAAAGCTTTAGGAATTTTTTGAAAATGAATGGAATGGAATCACAATCTGAAAAAATATGTCTTCGAAAAACAACTTATTTTTTCTGTAAGAAAAATACGAATATTGATTAACCAATTAATAGATCATTCATTCAGTTAATCAATAGGGTATTTTCAATTGAATCTGGCAACAACGTTTAAATTTCCACCGCGAACTGAATGTGAAATAAAATGTGAGTTTAAACAAACACCGAGGTAGTCGAATGCAACAACAGCTACACTTTCCCAAGTGAAACAAAAAATTCTGCACAGAAATTCGTTTTGCAAATATTTTTTACCGTTGTCGTCGTACATTGTGAGTAGTTGAAATGTTCTCACATTTGAAATAAGAAATGCTTGAGATGGAAAAAGGTAAGTGAAATGGGATAGATAGATAGCTGAGTGATGATATCAGTCACCTTATTATTGTGTCTTCATGCCGACTTGATATTATTCAACATAATTCGCTATTGATTTAGTTTTATGGTTAGCTTCCGAATGCATAGTTATGTTGTGCTCAGTAGTTTTGTGCTTTTTTTTTCTTGATAGTTCAACGGTAGCTGAACGTAACGTGCGTTTGCAGTATGTGAAATGACTTGCACTAAAACACGTCACAGCCATAATAATCAGCATCACTGACACTTTCCTGATTCTTTCATCAGTGCAGTTAAGTATTCATCTGCCAAAGATAGATTGCATCTGCAATAAACCATACCATTCTGAAGGTGTTTTTCTTACCGAGTTTTGATCAAATTTTGCACTTTTTGAAAATTAAACTAGTATTGTCATTCATATTATTATTATGAGTTAGATTATTATCTTGTTATTGTTATTATTATTACTGTTATTATTACTATTATTATTACAAATCGGATGGTATTTGCACTCATAAACTAGTAGTTTATGAATGCGAAGTATATTCAAACGTGATTGCATAATGCATGATTTTCAACCGTTGACTATGTGTTTGCGTTGTTGTTTGTGTGGAACACTAAATCGTGGATCGTTATGTTCATTAATGAGCGAAGGGTGAGGTTAGCAGTAATGTAAAGCTTTCAGATTTTAGAGTGGTCGACAGACGCAATATTCGAGCGATTGTTCCTCAATAATATGGTTAGGAACAGCTTGATTGTTTGTGCGCACACTCTACCGACTGTTATCCATGAAACAGACTCCATATGCGACATTCCTGATACTTCATCAGCTTTTCTACGAGACTCAAATGGTGTGTGTATCATTCATTATTGGCAATATTTTTATTATCATCATCATTATTCGCGACCAATATTTAATAGTCGGGCATTTATTCATGTTGCTATTCATTTCTTGCGCCGCATATCGTGCATCATTTTGAATTATTTAACCGTGAACGGTGCATCTCTTATTGAGGACATAGATAATTTGAGCAGAAATGATAATTCAAAAGTTTATCGGTTTATCTATCTACCTGTTTATCTATCTATCCAAAAGTTTTCCGGTTTATCTATCCATCTATATTAATATTTCCCATCTGTGAGTCGATCAATCATTCCTCTAAAACTGATTAAACAACTCTTAATTTGCGTCTTTATGCTCGTCTCAATCGCATGCGGTTGTCAGCTATCTTCGTTTCGATCGCTCATTATCAAGCGCTGATCAACTCTCAGACGAATGAACCACCTCCATAGTTCATTGTTTGTCAGTCTTCACACATTAAGTAATCATAATCTTAATAGGTCATCAAATCATATCAACAATACCTTTCACAGCCTTCAAATACCAACCCTCATTCGATTACAATCACAAAGCATCATATACGTTCTGTATTGCAGTCAGTCATAAATAGTACAAGTATAATAACAGAAATGTTTCATGAAAAACAGTTCCACTATCATAATTCATCGTTTTCTCATGCTTTTTTTGTGCTCTGATAAGAATACAATAATAATCGGTGCTCCTCTTCTGAGAGCTGCCGGCACGAAACAAACGTATTTTTTGATGGACATTGCTATTTATAAGGCCTTCTTTAAATTCTCATGATTTATTTTGACGGCAGGCAGTAAAATTTCAAAAATTCTTTGCAACACCAAGCATCACCAAAAAATCAACAAAAAGCAATAATTAGGTTAACTTGAAACGTTTTCACGAGGAAAAAACAGCACTGAATGCAGATAGATAAGTGAATATGAAACAAATCGTAAAATATACTGGATGTTTGTCAAACATCTCATTATGACTCAGAAACAGGTCAAGTTTCAGCGTTAAAAAGCAATCCAAAATATAAGTTTATGAAACGAATAGTGAGCAATTTAAATGAAACTTCCTTCAAGAAAAAAAAGGAGTTGCTTTATATTGTGGCTGAGAAAACATCTTTGAAACATCTCAGTTTCAGGATCCGTGAGTGCACTTGTTTCGATGGTTAAATACTCGCCAACACAAGCATATTGCATTATCGCTGAGTTCGAACGAAATTTAAGCGGTAAATATGTAACGGTCGAAGAGACAGACGATCCACGAAGTTTAAAGATTGCAAAAATTAAAGTGAGATTGTCATTCATTTGATCAGTCAATTAATTTTGCATAAATCAATACAATTTTCTTTGTAAGGTTTATTTGTTCATCTTATATCTATAATTTATCATCAGTGGACAGTCTTTTTTCCTCACTTAACTTGAAGAGAGCACTCAACTCTCTCACACGCCTGAAAAAGCATTAGCAACCCATCAACTTCAGGATAGTCCCGAAAATTTGCGTGTTCTTCCAATCTATGTACAAGTGCACCACGTTCCAAAGAGTCGACTCCCTTTGGAACATCTCACCGGACGACTCTCAGAAAGGTTTCCTTTTTCAAACTTCGCGTTCATTTGTCTTTTTTCTTCGAATTCTTACACTACACAATGTAAAAGGTATGATAAGATGGACTGATTGAATTTATCACTCTTTAAATTTTTTCCAGTATCCTGGGACAAACGAATTTGGAGCTGAAGAAGAATGTCACTGTCGATCTGATGGAAGATGCAGACTATGATGTATGGCGTGATCGTGCTGGCTTCATTGTTACTGATAAGCAACAATTACGGCAAATCACAGTCAATGTCTATGAATTTCTTAAAACATTACAACCATCAAAAAGTAAGCAAAATTAACAATCTTCCCTTAGATTTATGTTTCTCGTTAACTGTTTGTTCATTGATATTAATCCTCAATTGAGGCGGCCCTGATAACGAATTGCATGTTCCTTCGTCACACCATTTGTTCATGCTCAACATCCCTCAGTTTGCACTGAATTATGCCCTTTCGACGTGAATAATAGACGTGTGATTGTCTATGTTCATTCAAGAGTGCGTCTACAAGACTTCTGCTCGAAATCATGTTTTGAAATGATATTTATGAATATAATGAGCAAAACCGGTTGACACTGTTGCTTGTACTTTACTTGATTGCATCATAATGTTTACAACAATATTCAAGAAATATTATCGTAGTAAAATGTAACAGTGATAAAATGTAATAGTAGTAAAATACTAAAATTATAATAACAATAAAATATAACGGCCATAATAATGATAACAATAATAATAATAACAATAATAATAATAACAGTAATAATAATATTATTATAAAAATAAGAATAATGGTAATTATAATAATAATAGTAGTAATAATAGTTCAGTATTAACCATGAATGCATGCAGTGCAATTCAAACAGCCTCAACGACCTTTAATGCGAGCTCCTCTTGTTACACTTGACGGTTATCCTCACAAGTGCTGGTTTATTCTACTAGTTGATGAAACGAAATAATTTTAATATAGGTATTCTTTCGAAGTAGTATTGTTAACGCATTACACAAACAAACATTGTATTTCCACAAGTACGCCATCTAGAGCAACAATAAACGCATCGTTGACAAACACGTTTGTTGTTGATTATTAAATCATCAGATCGAGGTGGGTCATCGAAAATAGTAATTGAGAGCAATCAATGGATGCATCCGTAAATCAGAAAAAATCGAAAAATTAATTGCTGACACACAACATCCATCTAATCTGTTATAGAAGACATAACATTTTAGCTTATATTCTAACTTTCAAATTTCACGCAGCATGATGATTTTCTTCTTTTCTGCCGTTAAGAATGGTTCATTATGAAAAATTCAACAATTGAACAATGACATTCACTTTCAGAAATAAAAGTGGTGCAATTGGACGAGTCCTTAAGAGATCTACTCCTGGAATATGATCACTCGATATCATCACTAAATCGAGCCACATTCTTGCAGTATCTTTTCAATGATGCTACAACTGTAAGTTGTAATAATAGAGAGCAATGCTTATGATGGATGATAAAATAATTTGAACATAATTTTGACGGTTCCACAAAAACGACAACGACAATGATCAAACAATCGAATAATCCAAAAAATTAAGGTATTTGTCGCCGAAGAGCAGCAAAACAACAGTAGTAATAATGATGATCGTCAAATTGTGGGATATATGGTTGTAAAACGGGATCGTATTCTGGCACTTTACGCAGATTCCACCGATGTGGCACACACACTAGCTCATCACTGGCTTCGAACATCACGATTTTTCAAGGTTTTCAATCTGTCATCCCTTTAAGCTTCTTCGATGAAAAAAATTTTTTAGCTAAACTCAACCAATCTTAACTGATTAGTATTGTTGCTCCTGTTTACAGATAACTTTGTGCTGTCGACATCTCTGTTGGGAGGTTGAAGGAAATGCCTCAACAGTAACGCAAACAATTCATCGTAGGCATACACGTGCCGTACCGGGCAACATCAGATGGGATCATGTGTATGCGATCAATATTGGAATGAATATTCTTTAATCAATTACTACATTCACTCAACATTTTACTCACCGCATCGAATCCACTGCTTATATTCTTCTTTTTTGCATTTGTTTTTTTTTTTGTTACGAATTTTGATGAATTACATTATTTCTGTTGTCAGTAACTACACTTATAATAATGATAATAATAATATTAATAATGATGGCAATAATTTCATCTCTTCCTTATTGAACAATTCATTCATCGTCTCATTTGCGTTAAAAGAAATCTCGTCCTCTTCCTCCGTATACATTATCCACTAAGATGATTTGATTTCAGTCTGCTGTAATGAAACGATTCCTATCATATTACAATTCTGCAATCATTTCTGCTAAATACACTCAATCCTCTTACGTATTCAGTTTTTTTCCTTGTCAAGTCTCTCCTACGTAATCTTTGCTATCGACCGACAGTATCGTATCATTCACTGTTACTTCTTTGCTTTTGATCGATTGCATTCCATACTCATTTGTTGATTCATCCTTGGTAAGCATCCATGCGATTTCCAATGTAACTGCAATCAACTGTGTTAATAGTAATCGTATCATATCATATTACATCCTATCATTTATGTGCACCGTTACTTTCAGTCTCCTGTTCGACACTAATATATTGAAGAATGAATGATTCACGATCATTATGAAGTGGTAGCACGCAGCAGCATCAACAGTAATAGAAGAAAAAGATCCACTTTGAACGGGAAGAAATGTGAAATAAACCAATTGATCCATCGAAGCAATACACTTTTCATGCTTTTGCTGCTGCTACTACTAGCACTGCATTAGCTTCAAAAGAAGCTGAATAAATTTGGAAACGACGTGAAGTTGGGTACTCCTTTAAAGAAGTAACAAAAATTATTAAGCAGTATAACAGCGAATTCGAGAAAAGAACAAACATTTGAACTGATTCGTTGATTACGCATTGAAGTAAAGAAAAAAAGCAGGAGTCGTAAACGCAATATATTTCGAATCAATGTTTTTTGATTACCTGGATTTTTTTGCTGTTATTTTTACTTTATTTACGATCATTTTCATGTTTACGTTTATGCGTGTTTGTTGTACATGTATGCGTGTTGTGTGTGGTGAACGGCAATATCAAAAACAACATTAATAATTCAGCTATTCATTCGCTTTTTTGATAATCAATCATAGCACATTGATTGTCATTATCGCTGACTTGCATGCAACGTTATGAAAATTATTAGTTGTGATCCTTATCGCTGTCACCAAATTCCATGCAAGTATGAAAGAAGATACGACAGCTAATAGTAAGATGAACATTGCTTGTTTCAAATGCAATTAGTGTAATCTAATTCAATGTGATGATCGCATATATTCAATAATACAATTTATATGACGCTCTCAGCACCATCAAATTTTAAAATGCATATCGTACAACACATCCGTTCCATTCTTCGGTACCATCGAATTCAATGAAAAAACAAACGAGTCATACAAATACAAATACTTAACTAACAGTTTGATAAAATTACTACGTGTCGGCTCCCAGCAGCAGCAGAGTTCTAACTTCGCAAGCTCATCGCCGTCATCAAATTTTAAATCTGGAAAGTTTGAAAGAAATATTTCCTAAAAACCTGTAAATCACCCACCATTAGCATTTCAATATGGTGAGCTAGAAATGCAAACTCGTTTGCAGGTTGAACTTTTTAAGATGAATAACATGCTTACCTACTCAATAAAATCTATCTTATAAATCAATGGTCCTCACAGGGGGGGAGGGGGGGAACTACTCATTTTTGGATAATTTGGGAGTGTCAAGGGGGTAATGGAGGGAGCGTCAGAAAATTAATTCTGACATCGTGCATGAAAATAGTAAATTATTATAGCGGGAGGGGATAATGACGGGATGTCAGACCATCGAAGGAGTTAACTGAGCAATCGGGCGTGGGGTCGGTGGTCATCGAACAGCGCGTTTTGAACGACGATTGAACGATTCGCACCGAGCGACATCAAAATTTGCCTTGTCAGTTGGCATCGAATTTCGGTGGTCATCGATAGGGTGTTCTGTTGATGATCACCGAGAACTCTAAGTTGCCTTGATACCTTATCACTTCATTACAAGATGAAGGCTGAGCATTCAATTAGAAACGAAACAAAATCAACGGCATAAATTTAATTGAATCAAATGCACTTCGGCGGCACACAACGGTTACATCTAATGAATGATTCGCATAAGATCAACTGAAATAATTATTGTAATAACTATTTTCACAAGATAACAAAACTGACATAAAATCACCATAAAATTTGTTGTTTCTAAAGAAGAGAATACAACACAAGTTCAGAAGACAACATCATAACGTAAATGAAATTTCTAGTAGTAGAACATTTATGAAAAATTGAATATCAATACCAGCACAAAAAAAACAACCATAAAATGCTCAGAAATCATCAAGAAAAGAATATTGTGTGAATGTTCTTCTAAATGAATTAACAAATAAAAACAATCAACTAAATGTTACGATGAATAGTGAATGCTGATGATTTTAAACAACGAAACTACGTCATACCTAAGAGTCTGAAATGAAAACATGATTGGTCGTCGAATGAATCAGCTTGGATATGGTGGATATCGTGAAAAAATCCGATTGCTCATCAACTCCCACAAATGAAGAGCTCAATTACGAAAGCAAAAGATATTTTCGATTTTGAAACATTCATTGTCCCCTACAACGACAATAAAACAACACATACAAACGGCAACGAAATTCGACGATGGAAAGACACTGAATGTTGTTACGATACAAATTTATGAATATTAACTACACTTTCAACGCAAAATATTCAGTACAAAAACACTGTAATGAAAATGATAACAGTAAAAAAGAACAACTTAGGCCATCGAATGAATGTAAAAATAAATAAGGATGAAAAATTCTGAAAAGTAAATTTGTTTCACTTTCCCTCTTGCCTCTGATTTATCAACTGAATGTATGCACGAATGATTGTTTTAAAACGATAACTACATTTGCATAAATGTAGACCATGTATTCTTCAAATCAGCGGCACATTGATTATGGGACCTATCGATATTTTTCAATCAGTCAATAAAACAATCTGTTGAGGGAAAAAAAGCTTTATGAAAGGTTTAAGAAATGAAACAATAATCGTCATAAGTAGTTAACACATACACATTCAGATAGTCAATTGTTACCTAATGATAGTATTATTATTGCAATTATCAACAACGATGCTAAAATAGTTAACGGCTCAAATGACCATAACAAAAAGCGCATCAAAACAAGGAAATTCATTTCGTTTCATGTACCTTTCTACTTAAGTATAAGTGTGACATCTTTAAACACGAACAACAATGCTGGTCCGCTGGCTCACTGTCCTGCAATTAGCAGCTGCAATAGGCACTCACCGCCGAATTCTTTTTTTTTTTCATGAAAACAACAATAAGGAGTTTCGTTTATTTTGGTTCTATTAGCACTTGAATTCTTTCATGTTTCGATATTGATATGAATACGAGAAAATAGACAGAACTGAAGTAAGTTTTACCAACTCACTATAACGCTAACAAGCAATGAGCACATTAATTCATTGACTCGCGGCTCACTGAAGTGGTTTAAAAGTTTATGCAATTTTTTCATCTTTGTAATGTGAATAGAATGGAGCGAAAATTGATGTATGAATGAACCCACATCTTCAATTAATAAATATATGATCATAGATGGATAGATGCTAAGATGTACGGACAACAGGTTCTTTAAATACAATGAATTCGATGAGTGTTTCATTAGAAATAGTAAACAAACGACACAAATGATGAATTACAATTCTCAAAAAAAATTTTTAAATACACTTAATTCTTGCAAATAGGAGCCGAAGCATTTATCTAACGGTTGATCATCTATTTATTTTGGTTTCTTCATCATAAAAAAACCGTCGTCATATGATGAGAAACAATTTTCATCGACATCATCATCATTAAGAGAGGATCATTTGAATGAATTAAAAAATCTCCTGTTATCTTAAAAAACAATAGAAGTTGTCAATTTGAAGAACAAGAAGAATTGACTATGAACTTCTTATTGAAACAAGCAAACAAACAAACAAAAACAAAACTTAAACATTTTCATATTTCTACATCACCACCATAATAATCTTGTGATGTGTATTAAAATGAAGCGATGGAAAATAACCAAAAATCTTGATGCTTAAAAGTTGATTCATTCGTTTTAATACAGCGATATATTTAAAAAAGACAAGTAGTCAATTGGTTGGCTAATGTTTGATTCATTCGTTCAATTTTCATAATTAAAATAATGATAACGATAAAAATTCACGGAAAAACGCAAGGAAGCAGCAGCAAAGGCAGTTAGAGGTGGCGAGTCTATGATAATAATAAGGATAACAACAATGACGAATGATGATGAAGATCACCGGGTGTGACATGATAATATGCTGATTGCAGCGCGGGTATATGTGCGACAATCGAATGAGCCCAAAGGATAACGCAGATGAGATTAAGGAGGATATGATGAACGAACACAGAATATTCGAGTGGTTTATTATTTATCGAATAAATGACTGTAATACTGATCGAAGAGAATAATAATGAAACAAACAGTAATTGTAATCGTTTTCGACTTAATTCATACATTCAGTCTTCAGCTTCGATTTCCATATTCACCTCTGTGTCCCGAAAACGTCTGGAATACGACCAAAAATGCAATTTAAAACCTTCTAATCACCCTCACTCACAGATAAAAACTATACAGAATAAAGATGAGAACCTTTTTATTTATTACTAATTATATACAAATAATAACACTAAATTCTTAAATAACGAACAAAATGAGATAGAAGTACTCACCTTCGATATAAAAGCATGTAAGCTTCTCTGGAGACGTTACTCGGCTCATTTATAACGCTTGTAAATGAATCATTGTAGCTGTACCTGCAATCAGTGAATCGATAGCTCATCATCTTGAAATGGAGAAACGCTGGCTGAGACAGATATTTCAATGCTTTTCAATTATTTCAATGCTATTCAATTCAATTAATTGATATGTCATTGTCAATTAGAAACTGATAGCTTTTACGGAATGACAACAAAACGCTAATAAAAGAAGTCTCGAAGAGAAAACGAGCTCAAACAACCGAGCAAATATGAAGCATCGACTAACTAACCAATTATTATTGTTTAGAGCAATAGTCGTATAGTGGCCACCACCGAGACCACCGCTATGATTGCTAACCGCGATTAGGTCATAAACAAATTTACCAAATCGTTTATCAACCACTCGATCGGTTAGATCTAACCCACTGAAATAATGTTAGGTTGATAATAGCAATAATCGATCACAAACCACTCAATCAACTGAACGAATAAACATGTCGATGATAACTATAGATTAAAAATTGAATATTCGCATGCAATTTGTGGATACGTAAGTCATCTACAGATCATACGTTAGAGGAAATTTGATCGGAATATCAATTTTTTCGCGAGTCCATCCAGAGCAAGTGAAACGCTTCATGTGTACGATAAGTATCGGTGGTAGTCGCCATAAGTCCAATTTCTTGGTGGCACGCTGATGCTCCTTACAATGTGGACAATACCTGCAATTAATCGATGATTCATTATTTATCGATTGATCGATAATTGTTCGATCAGTGACACTGAACTTCACTTGTTCGTTTTCGTCAAAGCCATTTTCACTTCACAATCATTTTCACTAGGTCAGTTAGAAAGAACACAAACCATAAATTATTTGTGCTGAGTAGTTCTTCACGTGTAAAGAGATCGATGCATTCAGTAACCGTAATACTTTTTCGCACTGATTGCTTCACACTCACTTCTTTCTCTTGAATATTCTACAATATAATTCTGTTCGTGATCGCTATCAACAATGAGCATACGATTTGATGCAGCATCGTTGAATTCAAAACGAATAATTCAATACATGATCATCTGATAGATGTCTCTTAAACGAAATATTTATCTAAAAGAACGTATGTATAAATATCATAATGCACAATATGCGCTTGAAAAACACATAATACACAGATGACAAATATATATAGCCATCTCACATTAATAAAATAAGGCTGTGATTTATTTTGTGCTTGAGCTGCCGAATGAATGGGAGAAAAAAGAGAACAATGAGGAATGAAAAGAATGGATCGAGTTGACACGCCAATTGGTTCAGTTCAACCAAATAAATGATTGCTACTAACCTCCTTACGATAATCTTGCAAAACGTTTGACTTCCAGTAAAAAGTGATTTTGATTGCACGGTTGCCATTTTTCAGCACTGTTGATGGCCATTCAATGATACGTCGCTACAATTTGAAAGAAGGATGTATTTGTTACGTTATATACTATACTATTTACACTACTTCTCTTTGTGAACAACCAATCGATAATAAAGAAATAAACAAACGAATGAATGCCAGAAAGCACAAAGAATTAAGCAAACTACCTCCTTTTCGGCATCAATATTCTCCATCCTTTCATCTGTAGAATTGAATGCTGAGTATTTAATGGCAGTCGGTTTGCACGTATCATTCGAAGTTTCACGTCGTTCCCAATCAACGCCATCGTCTTCAGCTTCATTCATATTTTCATCGGCATGTCCATTCGTTCTTTCTGTCGGTATTGCGTTAAATGAATCAATTGTTTGTTGTGGGTTCGAGCTTTTTGTTAGGACCGTTGCGTTTGCTGCTATGGGCGCTTTTATTCGTTCTGCATTCGTTGTGTCCATGACTGTATCCGAGATTGTGTCTACTTGAGGATTTGAGGTTATCGATGTGAATGTCGATGAAGAAGTTTTCGTCTTTATATCAACTTTCGCAGCCGATGTTTTCATCACCGTTTTTCCAACTACCACAAAACATTTCCTAAATAATCAGTGAACACAGATTATTCCTTCCTTATTGATAATAACAACTCTTTGATGATTCTCGCAAGCAATAGATTCAATATAACATGCTGAGATGTTTGAAGCCTCTTCTGCTGTTATGATTCGGCGCAGTGTAAATTAGCAAAACGTCATCGCTCATCGTGAATGTGATAAGCTGTATTAACAAATAAAATTCATCCAAGTCACTGCTCTATTCGCATTTCATGCCACTCAACCTGTTGTGATAATAACAACAATAATATGTTTACGAACAAAAAACTGAACCAAAAACGAGTAAATTATATTAGATCGAACCAAGTCAACTTACCTAATGTGGGGTAGAATTTTACTATTGATAAAGTGTGCATTCAAAGTGGCCATCGACGGAACGCACATCAGTAGCGGTGTTGTTAAAAAGTCTTTGCCCATTGAATCAACATTCCGAATTTGAATGATATTCAAAGGTGGATATTGTTGATGTGCACGATGACCAGACGTATTAATGTTATTGATATTAGTGTTAGTATTATTACTTCCACCTTCGTTCAGCTACAATCAAAAAATGACATAATATCAATATACGAAAATATAGTACAAGAAAGAGGACTGAGCGATGAAGTTTAAGATGAGTAATTCTTGTGGATTATGCGCAGAAGAAGCAGTTCTTGAACTTTCAACATTACTAGAATAGAAACAATAAATTAAATCCATTCCCGACTAAGTTCAATAATTATGACACTACCAATAATAATGAAATAAAAACAAAAATAATAATGATAATATTGAAGACATCCATATTAACACAAAAAATAACCTGATAAGCGTATATTTGTCGAACTGGTGGCATGAAAGAATTACAAATGAGCTCATCCTCGTCTAACAATCTCACAAGTGCCTTGTAATTGATTAGGGCGAATAAAATCTGTAAAGCAAACCAGAAAATTGTTTAGAAAAGTCAACCACGATAATGACTGGATGAACTTGTGTTAGCATTTTCATGAAAATAAACTCATTCATACAAGTTCACGTTTCATCACACGTGAATGAATGAAGTAAGAAATGAATAAAAATCGAACTATTTACAAGAGAGTTTTTCAGGAATGGTTCTTGTGATTGTAACATCGCGCGTAATTCCTTCACTGTTGTTATATTTGTCACAGATATCGTGTACTGCAATTGATAAATCTTCTTCAGTTCTTCTTTTTGCAAGATTATACGAACGAATATATAACAAAACAGAAACGATGAAAACAAAAGAGATGAATTAGAATCAGGAGAATAGCTGTTGCTTCTGATAGAATACCTTCATCCATTTACGATTTACATCAAACGGTACAATTGTTAGCGATATTTTACTAATTCTCTCCTTTGGTGGTAGAGGCACTGACAAAAAGCAGAACGGATCGAATGTAACGCTGACCTAAAATAATAATAAATTCAATACATTCATTATCTGGTACGCCGAACACTTCTGTTCTTATATTCAGTGAGTGAATTCATAAGATGGTAACACAAATAAAACGAATGATTTTCGAACAGTTCACGGACTAGGACGGCGGATGGGAGATAATGAATATGAAGATCGACATAAATATGGCTAAGGCTATGAAATGAATTGTAAATTAAAATGATAAGCAGCCTTAAACTTTTATGAATGCAAGCAACTGATCCACTACTAACCAGTTTGCACTTCGGACAAACAACCTTCGACTTCAACTGTCCATGTAAATAATCGACAATTATGCTATCATTACTCATTTTATACATATTCCACGCTTCATCCGCTACCTGAAACGTATGACGGTGATAATTTTCAACACAATTTTTATATTACACTGCAATTCAACTGTAGTGAAGTGATAGTTCGTTGCCACCTAAAATTACATACACATCCAAAATTGAAATTAACAAAAACATTACTAACAGCAGAGTAAATCCAAAATTAAAAGATTATACAATTTATCAATATCTTTATTCCATTAGTATGAAGAAAGCATTCAAGAAAGTTTCTCCCCTTTCAAATTAAATCAAAAATGAGCGGTTTAAACAAATGAGATAAATAAATAAATTCACAAAAAACGAAACAAAACCCAACCACACGATCATGACGTCCGGCTGAATCTTTGGCTTCCATATAAACCTTCTTTTTGACTCGATTCAAATCCTCGTGCAAACCATCCAGCAAAAACGACAAAAATTCTTGCGCGTCATGCTGAGCATAGCCACTGAACTGTTGAAAATGCTGCCCAATTGCTGCCTATTTACAACAATCACTCAACACGTTTACAACATAACATCTCGAACTTTCATGATGATACCGAACATATTGAACCGTTTATAACATGACTACATAAAGCATAAGATACAGTGAAAAATGCAGTATTTAACGATTAGTAACCTTGAATTTCCGTGGCGAATATCGACTATAAATACCACTCCATAGCTGCTGAATTAAATTCGCATAAGCACGCGCCAGATCACCTTTTGTGTTCAGCACATTCTCCTCATTGATATCTTGCTCATATCGATTACTCAGAAAGTATTCACTCACTTCGTTTACGTTGCTCAAACACTGAAAACAAACCTCATATTCACATAAATAATTAAATATTCTCTTCGAAAATCACTAATCTTACATCAACAAAGAATGACCTGTAAAGCGCTGTTCATAAAGCACGTATTGCCCAAATTATCCAATCCGCACACACCTGGCTTGAAAGCATGCCTTTCCAGTGAATCTTCAGCGCGTAATTCCTTTCCCGATTTCATGCTGAAAATAGCAATGAAAGTGTTTTAGTTGAATGAGAGAAGGTGTGAGGAATACAGTCAAAAGATGCGTTTGAATGTCAAAATTTTATCTAATGAATCTTGAGAAATCACCTTCTCCAAATAACTCTACATGGGTATGATATATACATCACCCTATCAAATCAGAAAATTATTCACTTTATAATACTTCTCAACAAAACGATTGCAATTCATTCATTCGAAAAAAAAAATTGATGAAACAGCAATCAAATAAATATATGCACCCACCAATTACTAAAATAAATCACGACTTAATGAATCAACAGTGATAATAACAATACCACTAAGAACTAACATTACTTCAGAACCATCTCGGTTATTCGGTTGTTTTGAACCAACAAGACCGTGACCATGTTCGTCAACAATGTCCACTACAATCAGAGCATCACAAGCAAACGCATCCTCCCAATTTTTGCCCGTCAATGGCTTATGTCCATCAGCATCATATATATGATACTGCACTTTTGTTCCTTCTTCTATATGCAGTATTTCATTTACTCGTTTCGGTAACGATTCTAAAATATGGTCAATCATTTACATTTTCATTTATTGCTGATGTCATTATCATTATCCTTTTTATTATTTGCAATATCATTATTATTTCCATTCCATATAGAATAAAAGAAATGAACTCAACACGAATTTCACATACCAAAAGAGTCATTTGAAGAAAACTCCATGGTGTGACAGTTATCCATATCATCCGCTCGTGATAACTACAAACGAAATAAAAATCATCACAGTGATCTGAATTCACTGACGAATGATTACGAGATACTATGCACTGGTCAACAGTTAAGAATGACAAGTTAAGAACTGAACTCTCACTTAATTTTTTTCTAACGCTATTAACCTTCCAATGCTATCTCCGTTCTTGGCTGTAATTGACTGAACAGTGAAAAAATTAAGACAATACCCTGATGGTGGATGGGTAGATTTCAACCCGAAGCGATTGATGTGTTGGAAATGAAAACGTAACGCGGCGAGTGATAGTATCACGTTCTTTCGAAACCACTCCGTATACTTCACTTAACCGATCAAACACCATTGACGGTACAAGAATAAAGTCGGCTCTTTCCAACAGATTCTTCTTTAACGTAAAAGTGCCGTTTTTAGCTGAATTTGATACAGTGATGATGAATTGTTTCGTAAATTTACAATTATAAGTTAATATAGCGTTCAGGAATTCTGGTTTGGGGTAACTATTTGCTGAAGGTCATAAGATGAAGCATCTAGCTGCAAACGATAACAATGCATATAAGAAAGAATCATTCATAATTAAATTCAACTATAACACAAAAATGCTGCATGCATAATGTTCAACGGCGTTATATAGATGAATATAATTTAACAACACTAACTTCTATCCAACAGAACCTCGTTATCAATTGGTGCTATACTAACCGTGTCACCTTTCTCAACACATGCTGTGAAACTTTTCCACCATTCCATTGAGATCAAGTTCCTGGAGAACACAACGGAATAATATGAAAACGTAAAAGCTAATTATTTGCATCAATGCAATTTTTAGCCGCTATTATCATTGTTATTAGTATCATTTCAATCATCATTGCTATGACCACTGTGGTTAATTCCATTCTTCATATCAGTCATTTTGAGGAATGTCATGTTAAAAACATGTATTCCAGCGTCCCTTCAACTTTTTTCGATCGTTACACCCATTGGCTCGATAAATTCTAAGGCGACCCCCAATTGCATGAATATAACCTTAATCCACTATTATGTGACCCATATGTTATCGTATTTAGATATATTTCTTGCTGGTAACATCCCCGTCTTCTTTCAGTCGAGCTAAGTTAAACTTGAGTGCAACTGTAATTGTAATCAGAAATTCCTTTAACGTTAGTTATGGAAAACAACGCTCGCCCAAACTGTTCTATCTTTCGAATTTTACTTCTTCTCAAAAGTTCCAATCTTCAGTGTACCTCAATTAAACCCTCTTTAAAATCCAATGTAATTGATAAAAGTTCGATGTGGTAGTAGTTATGCATACTGAAATTATAGATCTTCTTTATGCACATACACATGATATGAACTGTACTGATTCAAGAATATTATTTTGCCTAAAGTTCCCACTATGCTGATCAAATTCACATGGTCAAATTATCTAAGAATATGCACCATAGTTCCATACTGATATTATCGATTTTTTTATCCAATTTATTCTATTTTTCATTTCCTCATCTTATTTTTTTGCTGCATCTGCTGAAACCAATTCACTCATTTTGCTTCATTAACATACGTTCATCGCCCGCATGCTTCCTTTTTCTAGATTTGACTATATTCATTTCGGATGCTTTTATTTATATAATTCGCTCTACAATTTTTACATCACAAAAATTAATGGATAATGAAGAAATAAACAAGTAGGAATTGCTCTTAGTTTAAACTGGATCATTGGCATAGAAAAGTGATGCTGATCATATGATAGATCATTTCATCCTACATGAAACATCGCGAAAATTACTGATTGGCCTAATCGATATATTTTTGATCCTTTACATTATGAATATCCGCAACTTTTGAGGTTACGTTAGTGTCGAATAGAATATGCTGCTTCGATTTAGTACATACAAACATTTGCTTTTAACTAACCACTTCTCATCGATTACAAGCGGGTCATTCTGTACCCTCTCCATAAGGGCATTGGCCTCCTTTACAGACAACGTTTGACCGCTCAACCCGTCCATGCCAAGTTGATGAATAACCTGGAAAACACGACTGTTTCTCTCAAACGTTTTTATTCTTACATTTTCTAATTATCACAAGCACTAAACAAACGAAATTCCACTTTTCTGCTATCAATTCTAAAAAACATCACTCTTTTCAGCCCACCATCAAATGAAACAATAACCAATTAAAGAGAAAAGCGAGCGCAATTTGCTACTGGAAATTAAAATTTGCATAACTCAGCAGTGAACCATTTAAAAATTTTTTTGAGGAGGACGCGATATCAGGACATTTGACCATGAAGAAGATACGACAATTCGAAATATATGAACAGCAAAGAACATCATGAAACAGTGAGGAGCACAAACGCAATAGGTGGATTTCTAGCAACTGTCAACGAACATGAGGATGATGTCGTTATCGTACAAGGTGAATGTGAGAAAGGCGAATTTTTTAACATGCTTAAATTTGTTGCATTTGATGCATGCGGAACATTTGATACATCATGCGAAACATCTCAAGAGGCTCCGACTGGTTGGCTTAAGCAATCCGAAATATTACGAAATAAACTCAGGTGTGAGATATATCAGAGATTATTCACTGAGTGATTTACTGGACCGATTTATCTGATCATATTTGATCGATTATGACACAACACCAGGAAATATCTGCGATGTACAAAAAAAACCGTCTAGTGTTCTCAAAGCCGGGACATTTGCTCTCCCTCGCCAGTCCTAACAAACTGTTCACAATAGACCAACGAGTCTAGGACAAATGCAACTATGACATTTGCAAGCGCATAGTCGGTCGCCCAAACTTCGTTTCGGTTCGATTTCTGACAATGCGAAAGAATGTTTACTACTGAGTGCGTTCATTACAAAACGCGTATTATTCGGTATATTCCGAACTCATTGTGGGTAGGATCGTTCCTGCAAACAACCGCTCAAACTGTGCTTTCAGTTGGCCTCTGTGACTTCAAGTTCACTCCAGCTGGGGTGGACCTCGGAGCAAACCTGGGGTAATGTCCCCTGATGAGCCGCAACATAATACGGTACATTAGTAATGTTTCCATTAATTAAGATATGTAAAAATCTGTCACTAATTCTGCAGTTCACAATGCGAGTCTGACGGAGATTACTGTGAAAATGGAAATTTCCACAGTAATCTCCGTCAGAATAACGGAGAGAAGAGATCTTATAAGTTGACGGAAGGAAATTGTCTTTTAAGGTATTCATCAAGTTGCGTGAAATCACTTTCACATCTTATCACCTGATACATTTCATGATGGCCATTGTTGTTCAGAAATAGATTTATCTGTGAGTGAACGGTCTTTATCTGAAGTACTGCAAACGTTCATATTCACAACTTTCGTGTTGCTTTACCATAGCAGTACGTTCATCAGGCGAATATATTGATAAGTATTTGAGAAATAATTGGCCGCAACAAACACAAATTAATTAATAAATACTTGAGTTTACTGTTTATTTGTAAAATCATTTTAAAAAATCATCAGAATCATCACACTTTCTGATAGATCTAATAAACATAGTCAATATTGAACAAAATTTGTAATCACAGAAACAATACTTCGAATGTTCTTAAGAGCAGATGTTTCTCGTAAATATGGCGTTATGCATCTAATGATCGGGAAATTAAATGGTATGCTTTTGACTTTATAGTATTACTTCGACTAGCAGGAGTGCTAGAGAAGGCGACAACAAATGAAGAGCTTGGTCGATGGATCATGACGCTATAACGGTGTGTATCGCGAATTTTCGTTCCATACACCAGTAGTGATGCCATAAAACAAATGTGAATAACCAGTTGAGAATAAAGCCGCTCGAATAAATCAGGAACGCCATTCCAAAATTCGTGTCGACCTGTCCACTGAAAGCTTCTAGAATTTTTGGTGCAGTGGCCATCGTCAATACAGCCAATCCCAACACATAAGATGATTGCATTAATAAAGCTGAAAAATCAAAATGTTACTGCACTACTTTTTGTTTTGGATTCATGATCAATCCTGCGAACTAGTGTGCTGTGGGAACGGAAAAAAGTCAGAGGCGGGGAAAATCGAGGACGAAATTTTGCAGTCGGGGACCTCGAAAGCGTCGCAAGCTCAAAAGTTGTCGGGGACGGGGATTCGAGGACGGAGTCCCCGAAATTCCCTAACTATTAGTATTGCTGGGACTGAAAAAAGTTGGGGACGAAATTCTCCAGTCGGAGACTCCGAAATGTCGTCAGCTCGAAAAAAGTCGGGGATGAGGATAGGGAACGGCGTCCCCGAAATTCTCCGATCCCCGCACCACACGATGAACTCGTTACTACTGATACTGGCAGTTTTGGTAGTTCATATGATCTTTCCAAGTCTCATCATTATCTATATTCGGATTTGAACGCAACAAAATCATGAAATAGTCTGTGATATCATATCCCTGACAAAAATATGGTGATCCAGTTGGACTGGAAATCATCAGCAGTAGAATATCCCGTGCGGCAGATTTTGAAAATATCACCTGTAAACCGAAGGAAATGGATGGACGTAACGAGAAAGCAGACCTTCTTGAGGAAGGAATCGCTTGAATTGTAAGAATGAAAAAGAATCAATGAAAACAAATAACCTGGCCATAATAGCCACGTGGGTTTTTTGCAAAGATATAAGGCGAAAACGAGAACAAACAATGAGAACGTATGTTCAATACACCACACCGCACGCATAAAACCACCATCTAAGTAATTTGCAACACATTCATTTGTTCCTAATACCCGATGCATCAAACCATAATCGAAGATGATTATATCGTATGCCAAATACTGCAACTTACTTGTCTTCATTAATTCAAAATGGAAAAGTAAACTGATGAAAGTTTTCATTCGTCAGTCATCCTAATGGCTTATATTTTCGTAGATTTTTATTTTGGAGCATGCGGTGCATATCATCCAATCTATAAGACAATGTAAGTGATTGAAACTTGTGAACAAGAAGTAAATGTAAAACTGGCAGCTACCTGACCTTTTCGCCCAACGTGGAATTATCAGAAATATTCGAGTGACAATAAAAAACGTGACCGTGAGTACGTAACGAATATATATGCTGAAAACGGAACATTGATTAGTAACATCTTCCACTTTCATCAAATAAGATAAAGCGAATGAATAGTCGAGCAAAACCAGCACAATTCAAAACAAATTCAGCTAGAACAAAAATTTCTGATCATTTATCTATGAAGAATAATCGAAAATTTCATGGCAACAAACTGTAAACATCACGCTGAAAAAAACTTGCTCAGTGAGGTCTCTTTTCTTGTTGAAATAAATTAATAAGTTAACAAATCTCGATTACGAAGCATTTACTCGCTCGCAAACGAACAGTAAGAAAGGAACGAGGATGATGACCAGAATCGAATGAATTGTTTACGATTTATTGCCAGTCAAATATGTGCTATCGACATCAGCTCAACTCACTGTCAGCTCAACGATAAAATGCTGATACGACCTACCTGAAACAATGAAGTGCCGGCAATGATTAGTTGTGCCAAACCGAATAAAGCGCATAATTCTCGATTCCTTAACGGAATACCACAAACAAACGTATTCAGTTCACCGATCGTTATGCACCAACAAAGACGCATTGTGTTATCGTTAGGTGGAGATTGATTTGAATCGTGCAACTCGCCGTTCTTATCTTCTTTAAAAAACACCACTTCAGGTTGTGCGTATTCTGGATAACAACGATGATTCGACTGTTGTTGTTGCAGTGTTGCTCTATAGTTGAAAGTGAATCTAGATTGTGAAGCAGCAAGATTCTGAGGATGCTGCTGCTGCTTCTGTAGATGTTGTGCACGTCGCTTCGAATGCTTTCGATGATGGGAATGATGCTGACGGTGATGAAGATGATGATGGTGATGGCGTTGGTGGGGATTGTAACCACTCTCAACAGCACTTGAAGTACCACTAATTGAAGTTCGAATATCAAAAATGAGTGCAAAAATTTTTTCCATAATTGTTCCTTGCTGTTGCCAGATTACTAATAAGCCAAATGGATAATCTGCAATAATTCTAAAGCCAACCATCAATATCAATTATTCTATTGCTCACACATCAGCAATCAATCAGCAACAATCACAAAATCACTCAATCAACTCGACTGCCTGTAATTATTGAATATTTATCGTTTCACTCTAACGCTGCTTCTTGCCTGAAGAAGAACCATAATTGCTTCTTTGTTAATATTGCTGTTGGTGGTGTTTTCCATCGCTTGCACATTCTTTAGCACACTCTCAAGAAATATAAAATGTAAATTTTTGGGTGGTTAAATTAGCAATAGTCCAGCACAACAGCACGCAATTTATAGGCAATAGCATATATTAATCTTTTATTTTATCTCAACAGATCTTTTATTATTCCTAAAAAAAGATCAAATAAGGAAACACGTTGTGTCGATGGCTGATCAATTGTATCATGTTCAAAGGGAGCACTAAATGAAATTTTCTCGTTGCAGGTTAATTAAATGGAGATTAGATTGATCGATCAGATACATGCAGAATAGTCGAACGGTGAACGAGCGACGGCTGGTTGCGGTACTTCGAATGGTAATAATGAGAGCATTCCGTTGAATGTTTGAGAACATAATATTTCACCAGTTCCTTGTGAAAATTTGTATGAGATGATGCTGTCAATGATTGTATAGCAACTGGTGATGGTTCGTTTGCTTGAGCATATATTCGAACTTGTGACTGTTTGGAAAAATATCGATGAACTCATAAATATAAACGTGCATAAGCATTTGTTCAACTAAGGCTAGAAAATTTGGTTATTTGCAATTCGATTATCAGACAAACGGACTTGTGGTTATGTATTGGTAGGCATTCACTCAGAAAATAGAGGGCAAGTGACTGATAATTTCAACCTCAAAACAACAATGACAAACGAAATGACAACAAACTTAATTTATTCGTTATTCCTAACATAAATCTTCTCATTTGACTTCATTTCATCTAGCCAAACCATCCATCAGCGAGCAATGATTATAACAAATTTTGTCATTCGAATCGACCAATTAATTGATCAATTAATCAATGCTTTCAAAATCCCTTCCTACATCCTCATATATATAACTCATTATCGAATAACTAATTCTTTTTTGTTCCATTCACCAAATGTATCATTCAAAAGACCTATTTCCAACTTTTCGAACCATATTCACGCATCGTATTCTTTTGTTTCCTTGATTCAATTTCTAACTCTCTATAGAGTTGCTTCGATTTTATTAAACGCAACTTTATCAACAACACAAAACGAACAATTAATTGCACATAAATATAACTAATGATTGAAATAGCAGATCATAAAATTAATAAGGCACACAAAAAAATAACTAAACAATATCGATTACAATACCTTAATAATTTTTGAGGAATGAGATTACTGTTGTCCTCATAAACTATGGTGTTTTGTAAAACTTGTATTTGTTCGCTTGAAATGAGTGATAATTTTAGAAACAGCTGGGTATTTCTCACAACATCATTTCTGTCGAATTGTCTTTTTCACAATATCAATTAATTCATCAATCAATCACTGATCCACTCAATAATCATTCCAAGCATTTGATATTACTAAACACCTTTAGCTCCTTTCTCGATTAAACATCTTCCCACTTCAAAATCCCCAGCACGACCACCCGTTGATGCGTCCCATGTTTCGGAAACGTTTTTCATAGCGCGTATCAAATAACTGAAATCAACCGAATATAACAGATTTGGAAGAAAATTTATTGATTAACCGACCAATCGATCGGTCAAACAAAATGAGGAAATAAATGAATTGGTTGAAGAAGGAGCAATGAAAACAATAAGAATGATATTCTCGAAGCTGAGCAATGCAATTTTTGGCGTTTATCAAATAATGAATTTTTACATTCGAGAGGGATTTTTTCTTTGTTTTTGTTATCTTAGGCATTCATTATTGCAAAACCGAAGTATTGTGTTAGACAAGAAAAGTAACCTGGTAGGCAGATCACCAACATTAATTGAAATTTGTTGCACAATGAAGAGGCCATCTTTGCCCAACAATCGAAGAAAATGTTCCACTGACGTTCGATTCTCGTCATTCAAATACAATGTTATTGTCCTCCAAAACAACACCCAACAATACGAGTTCATGTAAAATTTTCACTTCATCATTTCAAAAGTAAAGAATTTTTCTGTCTAACATATAAATGTGTGAACTGCGCAATAGCAAACAGAATAAATTCAAGGTGATTTTCAAATAAAAAAACGTTAATAGGTAATGAGATCACAAGCTTTTTTAAGAGTTGGTTTTAACTGATGAAAGGCGAAAGAACCAAAATTTAATTATTTTACAACGTCCAGAGAGCAAATTCATTGACAATGATGAATTTTTAACGAAATGAAGAAAGAGGATAAGCGGTTCGAATTGATATAAAGCATGTTAGGGGATCAATCAGACTGACAAACCTTTTCGCTGAACTTGAGATGCACAAAGAAATGATCCAAAATAAACAGTTTGCTGAACTAATAATTGCTATGAAAACCATCCAAAACCAAAGAAACAAAAATAATTTCTCATAATAAATATTCAAATTCAATACGCAAAGTACGGTGTCTAACTGCAATTAAGTTCGTTGATTATGGTCAGTGAAAAAAAAGAAACTCATTTTTTAGTCGATTGTTTGGCCAATTGATTGCTTGATTATTAATGACTGGTCCCGAGATGAAACTCGTAATTTGATTTTATTTGTTTTTTCTTACAAATTTTATAACTTCAGAACTTTTTCGAGGCCTCATCGCGTAGATCAGCCACCGGCAGATTAAATTTATTTTTCAAGGGCCAAAATTTTTCCAAGCAACTGACTGGCGGGCCAACATGTTGTTTTTTTTTGGTTTTTCTTCCTTATATTTTTCCAAACATGCCTTTTTTCCTCATCTATGGACTACTGGATTGGGCTTGTCGCAAAAATCGCGAAATAGTCGACACACTTGGTCGTCTATTAGGAAATTCTATGTCGAAAATTTTCAGAGTGGCAGCTAAATAATTTAAATCCTTTTTTCTTTTCATTTTCACGCCGTTAAAATCAAACTCTCAATTTCATCTGGCGGGCCAAACATGATTGAAGACGGGCCAATTTTGGCTCGCGGGCCGGATGGCTGACGTAAATATTGTGAGTATGTTTATCACATGAGGAGTATTGTTTGCAAATTCAAAGAAGAAAACAATAAAATAGCTCCATAGTGATTGCTGAACCACAGTCAAAAGAGCCAATTATTTTTTGCGGTCAAACAAATAACAAAAAGCTTAAAATTAGATAATGCAAAAAAGCGGTGGAAGTAGACCTGAACGGATGCAGGACGTCGACGAGAAAAGTCACAATGCGTTATGCGTGGAAAATGTCCAGAAGTCTGAAAGAGTCGAAGTGAACACACTCTTTTGGAATGCAGGATGTTTTTAATTTCAGATCGAAATGAATAGGAATGAGTATTCTTGAAAGAATGCCTCTTTGCTGCAGTACTGTTAAATTCATGAAAATGTTTTTCCCAATTCAGAAAGCTTTCATGCATTCCAGTCGATAATGTCTCAGTTTCGCTATTTCACAGTTCTACAGGTCAGCGTAAGCTTAGACTGCTTAGGCTCGATTCAGCGGATTTAGTGTGCTGCAGTTGAAATTGATCCGCAGAAAACGGCAGAAGTAAGCATGTACCTGCCAATCAACGCCACGATACAAGTCCATAATAATGCTCGGTCCCCAAAATGAATAAGTGACCGATTGTAATGATTCATTTAGCCAAATGAATTGCAACCATGCGTTCAAAGTTTGCACCGCAGTAAATACCACATAATAAAGTGTCAAATGATGTAAGCGTTTCCGTCTTCCTAAATGTATACCATCCCATATATAGACGGCACTTTGCTGCTCGAAACTCGCTAGTCTTCCTGAAAACTGATAGCTGCAAATTTGTTTCGTTTTGAGTTTAATTCGTTTTTCATCTATAGTATTTTCTTGCTCAGGTTTGAAGTACTGAATTTGAAGTACGGCCAAAATTAGATTTTTGCTGGCTGAAATGGCTAATGAACAATGCTGAGTAACAATGTGAGTATATCGTGCATTTTCGAATGTTTGTGCTGAATTGGTAAACCTTTGAATTTATCTTCATTTCTCCTTACATCATCCCATAACTGTTCAGTTGATCGTATTGCACCAACCAAATCGAAACCTTAAAAGGCAGATCAACCTGAATCTTCTAAGTGATCAATTTCTCAACAAAACAGCTGTATCACTTCGCAAAATGGGCATTGGAATGTATCGAAAAATTCGCATTTCCACTTTTTTCCCCCCAATAATTTTTTATCCGGCAAATTTTTCTCATTATCGCAATCAGAATTTTTTTTTNTTTTTTTTTGCTGAAGTACTGAGATGCTGAATGGCATCATACCTGACATAGCACACAAGTAACGCCACATAAGTCGAGGCATATAATATAGAACGGCTTGAACAGCTAAAACATAAGGCACCTGGAAGAATCATTTAGGAATGCCTCACTAGTTCATTTACAGTCACAGCACAAAAAATTATTCAACTCAGTTTCGAGGAACTAACAATGTGATTTTGTTTTTAATTTCGATGTCAAAGTTTCATGCGATAAATGCAGACGTATACTAAGAGATTGCTGCTTTTCAATTGTTGTTTAATCGAACGACTGTCCTCAGAGTTGATGAAGGTTCATGGAATTTGAGAAGATTAAAATTTGTTGTTTAGTTTTTTCTGCTGGATACATTGAGTGGGAAGTACTAGAATCTGGATTAAAAAGATTAGAATAATTGACGAGTTTCAATGATTACTTGTGCTGACGCAACAAAAACAAACAAAATTTATAGCATATTTGAAAAATGGAACAATCTTACCCATTGATAGTAGGTTATTGTGAAACGTCGTCTCTCAGCTGCATTGAAATCGAGCTCTTCATCCAACGGTACGAAATAAGTTCCATGTATATAGCAATACTGATTCACAAAATCAGTCCTTTTATTTGAAAAAAAACAGTCTTATACAAAGAATCAGTTCTTTTGCAACTAGAACAAATGTGCGGAAAGGTAGGTGGGAAGTTGAGCAGCGTATTGCTTTGATCATTTGCTATCACAAGAATTGACGATTTCATCCAATATCTGATAGATTTAATGGAATTTCCGAATCAAAATTCCCATCTTCGCCTATCATATCACTGAGAAAGAAAAATCGCTTGCTCGTCAGCTTGTCATCACTATCTGCGCTTTCTTAACCATCTCAAGCTTTCTTAAACTGGAAGATTGAGGTAGATAATGGAATAGATAGAATAACTGTTGATGAGAACACATCTTGTGATCGGTCAGATTGTCGACTTTTTCTTTCTAGTGATAAAAACAAAACAGTGAGATTAAATGATTCAATGAAAATGTTTTTTTTTTGAAACAATCAAACGACTACCAACCATCCTTTGGTGAACTGTGCTGGTGTCCAGCATGTAATCGGCTCACCCCAAATATGTGTGCTCATCAAAAAACCAGCAGTAAGAGCCAGAATACATACGGTTATTGTTGAATTCAATCGATCAGCCTAAAATCAAACACGTTTTCAGTGTTCATTTCTGTGAGAAAATTTCCAGTGTTGCTGATGCTGTTGCTAAATTTTTTTAGATATTGCAGTTTAGAACCTAATTGTATATTTTCAAATTCTTGCATTAACTATTGGATGCTCGATATTTATTGAGTTTGTTGTTGTTGTGGTTGCTATTGTTATGCCAAACAAAGGCTACCTACCAAATCACCTTTGGGATGTTTCAGAACACGACCAATGAGCGCATTCACAGAGACAATTGCGCCTATTTGCGAACTCATTTTTGTGTTAATTAATCAGTTGAAGAATTGAATCAGTTCTTGATCGTTCGTTGGATCAATTGCTTTACGACGGGATTGTTGTTCGTTTGCTCATTCAACTGAAAATAACAAGTTGATGAAAACTGCGCATTCAGCTAACAGCTGATGAGAATAGTTGAAAGACATTGATTTCTGAATGATAATCATTAATGTCAGTATTATAAATATTATCATTATTGCTGTTCTTATTATTATTATTATTGTCATTTTTGTCATTAATATTATCAATACTATTTTATTATTTTACTGACATTAATTTTACGATTATTATTTCCACCACCTTCATAAATAACATCATTTGAATATCTATTATTATATTAAGACCGTAATGAGAAACAGTAATCAATCAGTTGTTTGAATTGAATGAATGGACGATACAGTCAGTTATTTATAAGAAGAATAAGTAAGCATGAGGACTGAACTATAACTTGTTAAGAACACTTCTAATGTGAACAGAAATGAAAATCTATTGTGACTGAAAGTACGTGTGTTTGTGCAAGAAGGTTCCATTTTTCCTGCTTTTTCACCTATTCTCAAGCTATACTTAAAGTCATCTTTTCTTCGTCCTTAATTCAACTTCTTGAATAGTTACTAGCTCTAACTGTACTCGGTTAACCGGCTGCTTTCAGTCTAAGCTGAATCTTTTCTCAATGAATATACGGATGAAATGATACTGAATTTCAAACAAACAAACAAACAAATATTTGTCGTTTATTGTTAACATTTCTTCATTGTTATTGTGATTGCAGTTCTCATTATTACCATACATCTATTATTTTCACATATTATTCGCACTCATCCTCTAGCTTCAATCAATTCTATTTGCTAATGTAATTGCAATTGTGAATCTTATGCAACTAACAAATACAACTAATATAAAGGCATGTATGTTAATTTTTCTTATATCAAATACCACTCAAAAACAACAAAAACCTTTCAACTAAATACGTGAACACATACAGCTATTCAGTTCGACTGAATTTATGAACCAACCATCCATCACCTTCTATTTGTAATTGTCATCTCATTCTAACGACTATACGCACTTGTCGTTAATCTTTTAACCTCAAACTTGGGTAATTAAACCATAGCCATAGCATTCATAGGAAAATGTAATCGATAATGATAACGACGTAAACAACGACATTCATAATGACGACAGTGTTATACTAACAGTAATAATAACATTATTAATGATAACAACACCTCGCGATAATATCTCTTAAATTCAAAATTTCCAATTACTTATTACTGATTTCGAATTAATCTTAACTGTTATCAATATTGTGACCTTAACTATTAATATCATTAGTCATCTTAACTATTAGTAATAAATATAACTTAACTATTAGTAATACAGCTTACAATAATCTACACGATACAGATAAACCGTACAGAACAAGAAATGTGGGATGAATGATTCGTCATTCTTACTTTCGATATTCATATTCTCATGTTGTTCTTATTCGTTTCTATTAATAATCCTTATGATGGCTTATATTTGATGCCCTTCTTATCACATTTCCTATCTTGCCTTTGTTCAGTCTCCTTAGATTCTTATGGTAACGTTGTAAATTCATGAATCATTTTCTTTTCGTATTTTAAACTCTTTTCCTTTTCGTGATTATCTAATCACGACACTCATTATAAGCAAATCTTTGAAATTAATCACACGCACATTGATCAGGACAAATCTTCTTTGTTTTCTCGATGACATCCTAAAAAGAATAGTGGAATAATAGCAGTGATAAGAATTAATATAACTATTATTGTTATTACTTTTGCTATGATTATCAACATTATGGAAAGAATAATATATCAGTAAGATAATATATCTGTAAACTGAAGGAGTCCAGGAAAAAACGAATGAAAAAATGAGGAATAAATTCACACATCAATGATAGTACTGGCAAATATCTTCCCGTAGCAATAACAAACATTTAGTGAGTCAACAGTCAAAATCACTTCGACAGAGTGGCCTCATAGGAGGAAAATCACTTCTGAGAAGTATTGAAGAGCTTGACAACTTATCGTTGATTGATTTTTTTCGTAACTGTTCAGTATTATTGATCTTCCGCTAAAAGTTGGGTTTTTGTTCGCTGAATTTCTGATCTTCCGCTAAAAACAATACGCTCAAAAATGGGAGCATGGAGCAAAAGAACTTGAGAATCACTACTTTAAAACATAGCTATGAGATGTATTCTTCAATACTGATCCGCTGGATAAGGTTCACTCGACATTCTTCCCTTGTGATTATGAAAAGTAGATTGAAGATACTGATAATAAAAATGGTGATAAAATTATTGATAACAGCAATAATAATGTTGATAGTGGCATTAATAAAATAAATGATAGTAAATATCAGTAAAATAACATTAACGATAATAAGAATGAGATGAGGAATATTGATAAAACAATAATAGAACAAACTAACCAGAGATGTCACTCACATATTGATCCTGAATTAAAATAAATGCGATCACGTGCACATAATAACATAAATCTGCTCTTCTTCTGAATTCATCGGCAACCAATTTGATCATAATATTGAATACTAGGCAGTATCTGATAATCAATTATCATCCTCACTAAAAATTCCGTCCACCATCAGCCACATATCACTCGCTAATGAACATTAGCTTCGAGCAAGTATTTTGCTGCAGGCAATCTTTTCATTTGTGTCAGCTTGCTTGTTCATTGAGTAACAATTGACTTAAAAGTTGATGGGCGAGGCAGTGATATTCAATTAAATCAATGAAAAAGGAAATTTCTGCTCGTCATATCCAATGAGAAACTTTATTCGTCAACTTGAAACAACTCCAGAAAGCTTTGCAAAGCGGGGATTGCGAAAAAACACGGAAAGCATTAATATGCTATCCAGCTGAAGACATGTAACAGACGGAATGACGAAATATAAAATGAAAATCAAGAAATCTTAGGATGATAGTGACGGCAGATCTCGAGACAATTTTGTAGAAATGACCCAAGCAGAGGAAACCTATATGCAGTGGCAGCCATTCGTGCACTGAATAGTCTGTCAGGTCAGTAGTCGTCGCAGTGGGTGAATGAAAAAAAAGGCAATTGAAAATTATTGAAAGTATTCCTATAATACACCCGTCACAAAAATTAGCAAATACTTCAAGTCAATGAATCTATACTAGTATCGCTGAGGTCTCTATTGATCAATCTGTAAATTATTTTAGCAGTATCACGGGCACCACCTTCAAACTATCGTTGTTAATAGTTTTGCCCAGAAACATTGTGATTTCTCCACGCCATCCGATTTCACAGATTCTCTACTTTCAGAAAAGTATATGTATTGTCCGACGAATTGCTTACCTTCAGAGAGATTGCTGTTTTTTGAAGGTATCTCAGTTGCTCGGCAGCGCTCGTTTCAACACATTGTATCTTTATTTATTTATTTATTATTTTTATTTATTTATTTATGTTTATTTATTTATTTATGTTTATTTATTTATTTATTTAATCAGCACATCCAACTCATTACGAATTTATGCCTCTCTGTAATGACCAATATCACTAATATCACTATATCACTAATATCACATTCTTCCTTCCTTGGCATTCTTCTTTCCTCGCAGCTAACGATAACAGCGTTGGGAATCATCTGTCTTCATGAAATTCTAATTTGGGTTATTGATTTGGCAAACGCAGTGGTTTTAGGCTACTCTTCCATATTAACCAATGATTTTTAGGGTGGGGGACTCAAAAGGAGTCCGAAAGTACATTCCGATTGTTCGATTGAACATTCGTCCAACGATCGTTCAGAATAGTTGTTTGGAACAACCAACAGTAGTGAATCAGTAATCCTTCGGTATCAATAATAAACAATTAATCTAACCAAATGGTTTCATAGCAATCGGCGTATCAAACATTCCACAACCACGCAATAACGAATGCCCGTTGCCATAAATAATTTGCACAATTAAATACAGCCGAATACCAACCCATTAAACAATCGCAACAATGACGAACATTTTGCCGATCGCCTAGAGCGATCGGCAAACCAACCGCTCAGCATCCAAATGGCGAACTAGGCTCTTTGATCAATTTAATGATCAATACATGAATATTAACGCGGCAATATGAGGGTTACCATCTTCATACAATCCTCCTTATGAGGTTTTTCCAGTAACATGGTTATTTCATCATATCATTAGATTTCCCAGGTTCTCTATTTTCGGAAATATATGTATGTTGTCGAGCGATTTTGCTTACAATTAGTTGAAGAGATACAGCTGATTTTCTGAACGTATCTCAAGCAGCTCGGCGGTGCTCGTTTCAATACATTGTATCGCCATACATCAATGTGTACATTACTAAAGTAGCAATAGGGTCACCATCTTCAAACTAACCGTGTCCTCAGGTTTGTCCAGTAACATGATTATTTCATCATATCATTAGATTTCCCAGGTTCTCTACTTTCAGAAATGTATATATGTTGTCGGGCGATTTTCCTTACAGTCAGAGAAATACGTAATTTTTGAAGCAGAAAAGAAAGGGAGTCATGAGAAATGAGACTGATTTTTTTTAAAGTCTTGATGTTGTATAGATACAAAGATGTAAATGAGGAACAACATATACAATACATTAATATATCACAAATTTCATCGTGATCCGTTTATAAGTGTTTTTGATATCGGCTCAATCAGAAGCTGTCGAATCGAACTGGCGGTTCTGAGGCGTGTTTTTCTTTGAGATCATGCCAGAAACATCCTTTTATATTCTCGAATCTCTCATAGCACGCCAAGTATGTCATATCTAATTTCGTGATATTTCCAGGGCGCTGTAAGTTTTTTTTGTAAGTTTACTTCGTCTCACAATATACTCTTCGCTATCCATGCATCATTTTTCGAGAATACTGCATGACCTTATCACTGGATTTCAAAAATTTTTCTCACATTCTGCTTGATTCTCTGCCAATCTCCGTTCAATTTGAATACGAATGAAAATATTTTCCTGAATAATGAGGGATTATTCACAAACCTGATCACAAAATACTAGACATTTTTCGCCAGCTAATGTACTTGTGACGCTATTTTCTTGGCAACACTGCCGGTGATCACGGCCTTGTGCTGCACAAAAGTGCAAATCCGTGGCTGCTTGAATCGGACATGCATCCATGCCGAAATACATCGCCTAAATGCCATCAGCTGTTAATCCCGAATAGCAGTGCAATTTGTGATCAAATCCATTCTCAACAATCGAATCAATGAGTTTTTTTTAATCAAATTCGAATCAAAGAAGCCATCAACTAGCCTGTAAGGACTGTTTAGTGTAGGTTGCGAATGAGCACTTCTGAATGCACACATCTGGTAGCTGACGATCAACACAGCACGAATGGAATTTCTCATCGGGAGTTAGCAACTGCTTCTGGTCCATCTGAAAAGCGCCAACCCACTTCTTTTGATCAATAGTCTCCTATGGGTCATCAAATTCAGTAAATACAATATCCTGATATAGCTTGATTCCACCGCAAATTTTGCCTTCGCTTCATTCAGATCTTTTCAAGTTTTTACACCAAGTATCGCTACCTGAACGTCGTCTTTATCACCGTTGAAGGTTTTTGCTGATCTCGCTCGTGCTCTTGCATAGCATCCGAATCGTCCACATCCATAGCCTGCACCACAACCACCCATACATACCGGTGGAGCCATCGGTGGTGCGCATCCGAAGCCACCGCCGCAAATTCCAGTGGACAAACATCCCTCACTTGCAACAATTAATCCAAGAAACATAACGCATATACACGAATATCTGGTACTACTCATCACATTTATCTCCATCACTGCTTTAACTTATTGTAAACTGACGTGAAAGAAGATATTGATAAAGTTGAATTAATTGGTAAAGGAACGTTGAATACCCGGATTGGCTTTGTTGTTTGTGGAGAGGACATAAAGTAGCAACTGATAGACACAACGGAATGGAATAATGCATGTTCGAAGATGCAACACAAGACTTTTATATGTGCATGAACGCAATCGCAACGAATGCCAATCATCAAAAGCTAACTAGACGTTGCATGATCATCACAAAATTTGTAGAGAATCCGGTCTGGAAGCAAGTTTTTTTCTGTGTTAATTTCGTTTCTTGGAACGTCTCCGATGACGGGTTCACTGGTAAACAATGTTTATGATACGTATGAAATTGCTACATGGATTTGATTTTCATTCATGTCCGATGAATAGTAAGAACAGTAGCAAGTGATAGATACAACGGAATGGATTTGATTTTTTCATGAACAGTCACTTGCCCTCTTCTTAGATGATATCGCGAATAATTGAATAAATGAGTCACTGAAATAGTTGACTTTTTCCCAAAAAAATCTGAAAAAGTTCTACTCACATTTGTTATTTGTCACGCGGCTATGATGACGTAACATGCCTTGTTATGTACTGCTGTGATCTAATCATGAAGCCAAAACATAATACGTACTTGAAATTTACGGTTCATATTCATCTTGTCTATACATTCACTAACAGGTTACGCATTATTCTTGATGAATTGCTATTATTAATCAACTCATTATTTGATGTTAACTGACAAAATGAATTCATCTGCCTTAGCGATGAATAATGATGTGTTTATATATTGTTCCACAATGAAAGTATTCAGGATAACAGACAGTAGAGCAGACTATTCGTAACTTAGCATAATAAAGTGGAAATGCCCCATGGTAGACACCTTATTTCTTTCTGTTGATTATTATTCTCATTCATCAATTAAGATCAATTTACTTTCTCTCTCTTAATTGCATAACAACTCAGTGAATCATCAGCTCAAAACAAGCCTAAGCAAAAGAGCACGGAACCAATCCACTCATTAATCCGGTTTTCAATCTGAACGTCATCTCTTTCATCGCCGTATTATGCTATCTAAAAATACATTTCAATTCCCAAATGGAACGTCATCAAAACACGTTTATCAATTTCTTTGAAAAAGAAGAAACTCAATCGAAATCGACACAAATCAGTGGTTATGCGTGCATGATGATGGATTTCACTCTCAACTGACCAACTATTCAATTGTTTTGTAATTTCATGTAACATACAAGAAAACAACAAAAATAAAGTGATTTTCATTTATTTCAAGCAAGTAAACAAAACTGATCAATCAGTTAATAAATTCATTCTTTATGAGATACACATACATACATATACATATACCTAGACGCAAACTTAAATGTCATTTCAAATCAATAAAAGAATTCGCTACAAGACTATCGGTTTGATCTCGAATTGGTGATGAACTTGAGGTGATAATTGTAGAGCTACGACCATCACTGCTATTTTGCGGTGTTGCAGTTCGACTTGAATGATGAACAGTGGACGGCATTGCTGTTGTCACATTACTCATTCGCATTGTTGATGTACAATTCATTTGCTGAAATGAAGCATCAATTATCAGTTCAGATATAACATCATTTGACTTATATCCATGAACTAACTTGGTCACGATAAATCATCTGCATCATTTTTTCCATTTGCTTCGACATCTCTGAGATTCGTTCATCTTTCAACTGAACCAAACGTTCTAAATGACGAATTCGAGCGTATAATTTCTGAAATGATCACACAATCAATATCGCAGACAGAAAGGTTTCGAATGCAACGATCTTCGTCAAATCAGACAGGTGAAAGGTGGAGGATTCACCTGGATTTGTTCATCCTTAGCAAGTACTTCTTGTTGTGACTGGTGATATTTTTGAAGCGATACACTCGCTTCGGTTGCACAACAGAACGCCGACCGATTGAACGGTACTGTTTTAACTGCTCTGTAATCACTTACATTACTCATTTCAGTCTGCATCACATAAGCAAATGGAATATCGAATAGTACATTGAAAAGATAAACAAGAATATACTGTGGTTGTTGATGGTGAATGGGAGAAGAGCTGTCGATGTGTATGGACGAGGTCATTTGCAGAAGGTTGGTTTCCGAATCGGTGTGATTCAAACTCGTTGCACTACCAGCTAAAGACGGGAAAATTTAGAGTGAAACGAATGGATCTGCTGGATACGAATATCAGTCGATCAATGAATCGCAAAAACAAAACGACTGACGGAATGAAGGACTGACCTCGACTCGCAACGCTTCGACTTCGACGTCTCGATGGCCTGAATCGACCTTCTTGAATGGCTTCTTCGATTCGCTCTCTCAGTCGAAAAAGAATGAATTCAATTGCACCCGGCTGAGATGTTGTCACCTTTTGGATTAAGTTCTGATTTACGTTGAAGTTCAAATGCACAAACACCATCCTTAAATAAAAGAAGCCATTATTACCTTCTCATCTACTTCTTCACTGACACTATCAATTCTATCTCTACTTACTTGTTTAATGTTTCCCAATTGTAGCGCTTGAGAGCATTCGAATTGACTGCCGTATAGTTGGCTAACGAAATGTATCGCGGTAAGAAGTGTGCTACAAGCTCAGCAATGAGCACTGCAAATTCGTTCGGTCAAATTTTCACCGTTTATCAGAAACACATCTGTTTTGTTGACGTCGTGAAGATCGCAACAACAATTTTACTCAGTTTACAACCCTCATCCTAAACAAAGAAACAAACACCTTTTAATTTGCTTACCTCCATCAGAAAAATCTTTAGCAATGTTTTTGATCTGTTTTGAGAATGGAACATTGCTTAACCACTTATATAAATCATCCACAGAGTTATCGTCCAAAGTCGGTAAGGACATACTGATGCTTTGTATCAAATTTGATGCCACTCCAAAAAGTGATGAAGAATTATTTCAGTTTAGAGAATGGGAATAGTTCGATAAATAGGAATGAGTGAAGAATTTTCGAAGAATAATGGATGTATGACGGCGAGTAGCAATGAGTAGTACTCTGTGCATGACGATGATGAGAAAGTTATTAGCTGAATTCGTCTCGAAACTAGCGACAGCCAATAATGCTGCAGTTTTTGAGGCTGTCTCGCTGATTGTTCACGTATATATCTTGCTAGATCTGACTCTTTTACTGATGCAAGCAAATGTATATCTGTGTATGTGTACGTATCCGTTTGTGTTGAAATTAGCAAAATCGATAGAGCATCAAGCACGATGAAATTTCTCACGCATGATGCTTCCTTTATTCATCAAGATATATGAGACGACCATATACGTCATGAGCGTCAAATCGCTCGTTCTGGAAGAATTGCACCCCTTCGATCGGATACCAGACATTGAACATACTACTCCCAATGAATCGCTTTTGGTTGTATGATCGGTTGAATGAGAAATTAGGATAAAATACAACTGGCTCGATAGATTATACAAATACTCACTCAGATTCAGCATTGGGCTTGAGCTCGTGGTAAAGTTTATATCCACTTTTGGGTCGTGAGCACTCAGCTCTCAGCCTAACAGAAGCTTGATGCTTCTTCATGCTAAACAGCAAGGAATGAAATAGCAAGAGGATATTTTTGAACATTTCCGTGAGCAGATTGATGTGATCTCGGTGATTTGCACCGTTGGTGTATGATCGGGTGATAGCATCGTGCATTTCGATCATCGTCAATAAGACATCAGTTCAAATGTGATGAAGAGGTATCCTTGTAGAACCCCTCCTCATCTCGGGGACGACTATTTTCCCTTTGGAAAACATTTTCCGCCCAGGGAAGTTTTCTTCTCGGAAAAATCTTTCGGTACTAGGTCGTTTGAGGGGGCACAACAGCGAGCTTACGCACACACAACAGCACCATAGCTGAGGCTCAGCCTCAGCCTCAACCTAAGTCCAGCGTCAGCCTCAGTCTAAGCGTAAGGCCGAGGCTACGCTTAGGCTTGAGATGAGCGTCAGCCATAGTGCTGTTCTGCGTGCGCATACTCGCTGTTCTGCCCCCTCAGACGACACTAGTGTCAGTCATTCTCT